CCGGGCCCGGATAAAACCCCGCTGCCTGGGAGGCAATGGACCCAGCCAGGAATCCGCATCTTACAAAACTTCCGGGCGAGTTTGGTGACGGCGGGCGGGCGCGGGGATCCCACCCGCTGCAGATGGAGGCTTTACCCGTGCACCGTTGGCCCCTGCGCGGCGCTGCTGCCCGCACGCACACCCTCCTCCTTCAGCCTTCCAAGAATGAGCGACTTCAAGGTCATAACTCCCTGAATGCCAGCAGTCACATTGTGGAACAAAACCAGCTCCAAATCCAACAAAGCAGGAAGCTAAAAAATAATAATCATAATAACTCGTTTGTCTTTTTCTCCCCGTTCCAGAACGCCCTCGTGGTCACCCCGGTCTCCTGGTAGAAGCTGCCCTGTGTGGCCTGGGGAAGGCTGGGTCCCTGCTGGGTGTGCAGACGCAGGCTCTGGAGCCCGCCCCCTCTGCAGGCAATAAACTCTCTCTGTGCCATCTGCCTCCAGACTACATGTTTGTCCAAGCAACGGCGTCACTGCTCTGGGAAGCTCGGGGATTAGCCGTCTCCACCTCATCTGGGCCGGGCCACGTCTGACCTAGGCCAGGCAACGCGGGGCTATGTGTGGCTGTCCTGCTCAGTCCCGACCCCTCCCCCACGCTTCCAGAGTCAGATCACTTCTTCCCGCCCTCCGTGTCGGCCTCAAGAGCATCTGTGTTGTGCAGGAGATGTGGGTCTTGTTGACCTTGGCAGTGTGGTGGCCCCAGGGCTCTGAATGACAGAGGCAAATGACCCAGCCTGGCCCTCGGTGCTTCCAGACCCCACCGCGTGGCTTCCCTGTGGGCCTCAGTTCCCTCCCTTGGAATGGGGGGCATTGTAGCTCCCACGTTTCCGGGCTGTGGGGCACAGACAGTGTCACCGCCCGCACTGTTCCCTGGCCTCCGGGGTGTGAGGCCCTCCCCACCCACACAGTGCGCCACTCGCAGTGGCTCCTCGGTTTCCCTGTCCAGGTTCAGAACACGGGCCCCTGTACTCCAAGCTGCAGGCGCCCAGTGCCCAGGGCCCTTCAGGGACACGAGGGGGCCCCAGAGGAAGACATGAGGGCGGGTGTTTCGGAAAAAGGCGTCTCTCAGATTCAGAGCACACACGAGATGCCAGCCAGGAGGCAGCGGGGAGGAGCTTCTATCCGCAAGACCCGGCTCAGGCCAGAGGGACTTGGAAGCGGCGGGGTGGGGGCCAGGACAAGGCCCTGCACCAGTGTCAGGCTAAGGACTGGGTGGCACATCCCTCCTCACTGGTTTTCTGCATCTTGTCCCCCAGGGCTGTCCTAACCCCTCACACTGGAAGCGAAAAAGTCCATCTTACCTCTGGCCACCTTGGGGAGGTGCCCTGGAGCTGTGCAAGGATCTGTGGGGCCGGGGGCTTCTGAGGGGTCCAGCGGAAGGAGCAGGACCTCCCGGCCTCGGTCCCACCTGGTCCCATAGAGAGATCTCTGTCCCACACGTGTGACCTTGTGGGAGTGAGCCGCTCTGCGACCTCGGCCTTGCTGGGACGCAGGGTCCTAAACAGCTTTGGCCGTGGATCCCCGGGGGGCTAACCAACCACGCCCTCTGGGGCTTCCTGGGGCAGGGAACAACCCTGGGTTTCCGCCCACCCTGGCTCACACCGCCCACAGTGGGAGTGGCCAGCAGGACTGCGCCAGGTGCCCACAGTGACAGCTGCTTCTCCTCCCACTCCCCTGCCAGTGTCCTGGGATCCGCTCCAGCGTCCTGGTCTCGGGGCTTGTTTCTGGGGGCCCAAACCCTGCTCCTCCCGGGCACCGCCTGAGCGACTCAGCAACCTCCAGGACCTGCGGCACAGCCTCTGCACTCAGCACCTGGACAGAGCTCTGCCAGCTCGGCCCCATGCCCACGCCCCACACCACAGCCCCCGAATCCCTGCTCCTCGTGCGGTCGCCATCTCCCAAGAGAAGGAGAGGGACTTTTCTCCTGGGCCAGCCTCCTTCTGAGCCGGGCCGCAAACCTCTGCTCCCCTGGGAGTCTCGGAGCAAAGACAAAGCAGCGGTGACGTGGCATAAAGTTTGCCCCCCCCCCCAACAAATGATGACCCTCGTCACACCACAGCCAGGCCTGGGCCGGGCGGCCGGGCCTCGCCCACCATGCCTGAGCCTCGCACCAGTTCCACAGCGGGACATGCACCCAGTTTTCCTCCAATAACAGTAACACCAAGCCCTGTTCCCGAAGGGCTGCTCAGGTCCCAGCAGGGGCTACTCCCGTCCTGCGGGGTTAGCGTCCCATTTTACACAGATGAATGGAGGCTCGCAGGGCTTCATGAACAGAATGTTTCCCAGGAAACCCCGGCAGAGAGCGGGCGGGGAAGTGAACAGGGAGCAAGGAGGCCAGCGTTTGCAGGGAGGGAGCCCTCCAAGTTTCCCTTCAGTCCGGCGCCTCCCAGGCCCCTCTCTGCCCGAGCAGCGGGAGCACGGCGCTGGGCAGTAATGCCGAGACCTGGTCAGCAGAGACGAGGGTGACGCGCCAGCCCTTACAGCATCCTCCGGCCCAGCGAGTCCACAGCGTCCGACTCTGGGGTTCAGGAATAGCAACAGCCTACTTCACATATGCTGCTGGGTGGGCACTTGGCACAGAGGTTAGGACAGCACTTGGGGTGCCTGGTTCAAGTCCCGGCTCCTCCGCTTCCAATCCAGCCCCCTGCTGTGGCACAACCTGAGAAGTAGCAAGTAACAGCCCAAGTACGTGAGTCCTTGCCACCCACGTGGAAAAGTAGCATGAAATTCCAGGCTCCTGGCTTCAGCCTGACTCAGACGTGGCTACTGCGGACATTTGGAATGTGAACCAGTGGATGGAAGATATTTCTACAACTCTCCCTCTCCCTCTCCCTCTCCCTCTCCCTCTCTCTTCCCCTGTCTCCCTTCCTACCTTTCAAATAAGATAAAATAAATAATTAAATTTACAGGGCTGGCTCCGTGGCATAGTGGGTAAAGCCACCACCTGCAGTGCCAGCATCCCATATGGATGCCAGTTCAAGTCCCTACTGCTCCTCTTCCAATCCAGCTCTCTGCTGTGGCCTGGGAAAGCAGTAGAAGATGGCCCAAGTCCTTGGGCCCCTGCACCCACGTGGGAGACCCAGAAGGATCCCCTGGCTCCTGGCTTCAGATTGGCACAGCTCCGGCTGTTGCAGCCAGTTGCGGAATGAACCAGCGGATGGAAGACCTCTCTCTCTCTCTCTCTCTCTCTGATTCTACCTCTCTCTGTAACTGTGTCTTTCAAATAAATAAAACAAATCTTTTTTAAAATAACTAAATTTACATATGTACATATATGCTGTCATCAGATCAGCATTGCCGTTTGCATTTGACATGCGTCAAAGCAGGTTCTTGCGACCCAGCTAACGCCGCCCTACATCTCCCAAGCTGTCGTGGGGCCTGACCTCCCTCCATCAGCCCCTGCCCCGGGTCTGGGGCTGAACAGGGTGAACCCCCGCCCTGACCACGTCCTTGAGCTGTGCAAGGGGAAGAATTAATCACGGGGAAACCTCACGAAACATCAACGCCGCCTAGAGATGCGTCAGGTCCACCTCGGGGATGGCCGCACCCTAAGGCTGCTGGCACAGCGAGCTGGGCCACTCGCAGTGGGGGCGTCAGGACCCCTCCTCCTCATTAGGGGACCTTCGCCCAGCAGCCGGGACGGGAGTGAGGACCCAAGGCTTGGCCCTGCATGGTAGCATGGAACTTCCCTCTCACTCCTGGCCCTGAGTGCGAATTCCAGCTTCACCCGAGATGGGCTGTGTAACCTTGAGCAAGCCACTGAGCCTCTCTGGGTCTCAGCTTGCTTGCTTTTTCAAGTTTACTTGTCTTATTTATTTGAAAGGCAAGAGAGGCAGACTGGGAGAGATCTTCCATCTGCTGGTTCACTCCCCAAATACCCAAAGAGCCAGGGCTGGGCCAGGCCGAAGCCAGGAGCCTGGACGTCAATCCAGGCCTCCCACATGTGCGCAGGGATACAAGTACTGGACCATCACTTGCTGCCTCCCGGAGGCTCCTGAGATCTGAACTGCAGCCACGCCTGGAAGCCAGGCGCTCTGACGGATGTGGGTGTCCCAGGCGGCATCTTAGCCCCTGCGCCACACACCTGCCCCGAGCCTCAGCCTTCTTACCCACAAAGTGGAAACCAAAATTCCCAACTGTTTGGAGCCTACCTGCCTGGTCCTGCCCTGGCATCTACGGGGGTCGCTCTGGGAAACCTCCCGCTCCCTCCCACAGACCTGGGGTTCAGAGACATGAGCTCAGATGCGACAGTCACAGCGACTTGAACAACATGGGGGCCAGAGCCGGGCCCGCAGGGGTCCTGGCCTCCATAACCATACCGCAGCAGAGATCACGGCTGAAGAACAGGCGTGGGGGACGGCCGCAGCTGTCTGCCCCGCCTCCCCACGCCTGCCCCTCACCTGCCCTGGTTCCACATCTTGTCATTAGCAGCCAAGAACTGGGGCCTGCCCCAGGCCAGCAGCTCTGATGTGGTTCCAAAGAGAAGGGCCCCGCTCCAAAACCATAGGACCCCGCCCACCTCCCCTGAGCCTGCCCCAGGCGCCACCCCTCCCCATGGGTCCTGTGAGTTTGGCCAGAAGCCCCTGGCCAGCCCTGCCCACAGCCCCACCTCCACGGAGAGCCCGGAGCAGGAGGCCGGGCTCCCCGCCCAGGGCTGGCCCCCCACCCCGGCTCAGGGCACTAAAGTGTCTTCCTGGGAAGCTGGACACAGAGTCCAGCGAGATCCCAGTGGCCGCATTCTGGGAGAGGTGAGGACCCGAGGCCACCATGGGCCTCTCCCCAGTATTTTGTGAGGATCTGCAGTGATGTGATGTGGTCCACAGGTTCTGAGCGCCGGGCAAGCCTGGGTTCAAATCCCAGCTCTGCCACTCACTGTCACCAGGGGCAACTCCTTTCTCCCTTTGAGCCTCAGTTTCATCATCTGTAAAATGGGCCTGGCGTCAATGATCCCAGGCCATGGTGGTGAGGACTCAGTGAAGGGCTGCCCACCTGGTGCCAAAGTCAGCGTGGGCCCTCCAGGGGCCGTGGCTCTGCCCGCGCTGTGCGGGGTGTGGGGAGGGCGGGCTGCATTCCAGGCTGGGGGCAGCGGCAAAAGCGGGAGCGAGGGTTCTAGAAGGCAGAGCAGGGAGACAGCAGGCGGTGAGGCCCTCTGAGGACATCTGTGTCCCCAGGTCCCGGACAGGATGCTGCTGCTGCTCTGGGGCTCACTGCTATGCTGGCAGCTGCCCCACACCCAAGGAGAGGCCCACAGCCTGTTCTTACGGATCAGCAAAGACCAGGTGGAGACAGGTAAGGCTCAAGGGGCAAGCGGCGGGAGGTGGGAACCTGGGGGAAAGCCAGGGGGCAGACATGGCACTGCCCCCCGTTCAAGGCTGCTCCTCTGGACACCCCTTCCAGCCCGGAATGCACCTGCCTTGCCCAGGGCTGAGCCTCCCCTGCTTTGGCACCTGCCCTGGCTCCCCAGTGCCCACCCCTCGGGACTTCTCAGGGCCTCCTTCGTTCTTGCTCTTCCTCCTGCCTCAGAGACCTTCCTGTCAACAAGGGGAGGCCCACTCCCCCCGAAAGCCCCTCCTGAGTGCCCCAGGCAGAAGCAACCTCTGTCCCAAGGCTGCCACAGCCCCGGGCGGAGCCTCTGGTCCAGTGCTCAGTGCCTCTTGTCCCGTCTGTCCTCCTTTCTCCTTAACTATTTTTCAAAAAAGGTTTATTTAGGTAGTTATTTGAAAGGCACAGTTACAAAGGGAGAAGGAGAGAGAGAGAGAGAGAGAGAGAGAGAGAGAGAGAGAGAGAGTCTTCCCTCCTGTGCTTTACTCCCCAAATGCCCACAACAGCCAGGGCTGAGCCAGGCCAAAACCAGGAGTCAGGAGCTCCATCCGGGTCTCCTACATGGGTGCAGGGGCCCATGCACTTGGGCCATCCTCTGCTGCTTTCCCAGGCACATTAGCAGGGAGCTGGATCAGAAGTGGAGCAGCCAGGACTCGAACTGGCGGCCATCTGGGATGTCGGCACCCAGGCAGCGGCTTCACCTGCTACGCCACCACGCCGGCCCCTCTCCCTAACCTGGCCGAGCTGCTTGTTGTCCGTCCAGCTCCTTCCCTGTTCCCCACACTCCGGCTTCACCGATCTTTGCTTTAGAAACTCGCCAGTCTGGTAACCACCTCAGGGCCTTTCGTGTGCTGTTCGCCCGCCTGCCTACCTCGCTCTCTCCCCAGACCTCTCCATAATGAATTCTTCCGCTTCATTCAGGTCTCAGTTCAAACGCCCCCTCCACAGAGAGGGCCTCCTTGACCACCTGTCTGAAGCAGACGCTCAGCCCCCTCACTCCAGCCCCACTCACCGCTTCCCCAACTGACCGCACCGCGGAGGGCAGGCGCCACCGTGCTCCTGTCCCCAGAGCCCCGCCGAATCCCTAAGGAGGACCTGCTGCTGCACGGGGCTCCAGTGCCTCCAGGCAGGGACCGGTGGGGCAGGACGGGGGAACCCACCCCTCCCTGAGGAGGCGTCTGTGTCCGCAGAAATCTCCGATCTGCTCTCGGAGAATCAGATCCTGCACCGCCTGGCCAAGATGCCCGTGACGGGGCCCCCGGGGAAAGGGGCCGCCGCCCTGGATCACCTCCCCTTCGTCAAAGAGCGCCTATCCCACAGGCACGGTGGCCTGGACCTGTCGCTCGTCGGGGACCTCCTCTCCGGGAGGAGTGGCCCTCTGCCAAGCCAGCTGCTCCAGGCAGGCAGGTGAGTGCCCGCGGGGCCACCTCGGGCCTTTCCTCTCCCCTCGGACAGGGCCAGGCGCCCTCGGAGCACCTGCAAGTGCATGGTCCCTCTGCCTGGCCAAGCCACTGACACCTTCCACGCCCAGGCCGGGGATCTCAGCCTGGCACCTCTGCCACCCTCCACGTTTCAGCAATGCCTGGATGTTATAAACTTGCATAGCAGTGTTTGGTTTTAATGTATTTATTTAAGAGGCAAAGAGACAGAGACAGAGGGGGAGAGGCAGAGCTACTGGTTCGCTCCCGCACATGCTCACAACAGCTGGAGCTGGGCCAGGTTGAAGCCAGGAGCCAGGAGCTTCATCCAGGTCTCCCATGTGGGTGGCAGGGACCAGGACCTGGGCCATAATTGCTGCCTCCCAGGGTGTGCATTAGCAGGTATCAGGAGTCAGGAGCCAGAGCCGGGAATCAAACTCAAGTACTCTGATGTGGGCTGCAGACATCTGAACTGCTTGGCTGAATGTCTACCCCGAAATATTTGTAATGAATCGTCAACACCTAAAAATCAAGGCGGGGGCAGGTGCAGCGGGCTAAGCCACCGCCATGACACCAGGATCCCGTGTTGTAGCACCTGTTTGAGTGCTGGCTGCTCCACTTCCAATCCAGCTCCAGCAAAGCATGATGGCCCAAATACTTGGGCCCCTGCACCCCCATGGGAGACCACATGATGGCCTTTCAAGTAAATTAAATTCAAACAATCGAGAGAAGCAGCATTTAGTGCAACAGTGGAGATGCCCCCTGGGAGGCTCACATCCCGTATCGGAGTGCCTGGGTGCCAGGCCTGACTCTGCTTCTGATGCAGCTTCCGGCTGGTGCATACCAGCTCAGTCACAGGGGCCCCGCCGAGCCACCCACACCCCCTGCGCCTCTCACAGGTTGGTCGTAGAAGATGCCAGGGGACCCGAGGTCACCCTGCACATCCTGAGTGACAGCCTGATGCAGGTGACGCTGCGTTGCAAACTGTACCTCTCGCTCCAGGGGTAAGTCCCCGCGCGCCTGGGCCCGGGCAGCCGGCACAGCCGGCACAGCCAGCAAGAGCTGTGTTGGACACACGCCAGCCTGAGGGATAACGTCATCCTTCCCACCTGGGCGTGTCCAGAACTGTTTTGACTGAAGGGGAAACCGAGGCACACAGTGGGAGAGGGGCCCATCTGGAATCACGCAGGGAGTCAGCCGCAAAGGCTCAGGTAACAGCCAGGGGCTGTGCGTCCCGTCTGAGTGAAGGCAGGGGCACCGAAGGCGGGCAGGGGTAGGGCTTCGAGATGGTCTGCACCAAGCTCGCCTTGGAGTCCTTGAGCAAGGGGCATCTATTCCCTGGGCCTCGGTCTCCTCATCTATAAAATGGGTATAAGCCAAGCTCCGTCCTGATGTGAGAGTTCACCAGCAGAATCCTGAACGCTGGCTAACCGTGAGGACCCGGGGCTGCAAGCACGCAGCCCACAGAGGAGCGCGCCGCCCAGTGCACGCGCAGCTGGAGTTCTCGCTGCCGCCTGGACGACACATCCACTGCTGCTGTCCTCACAAATACGCCTTTCCCAGTCTAACTAGCGAGCTGCGCCCAGAGAGCAGATCGCTCCCTTTTTTAATTTATGTGTTTATTTGAAAGTCAGGGTTATAGATAGAAAGGAAGAAACAGAGAGGGAGAGTTCTTCCACCTGCTGGTGCACTCCTCAAATGGCCACAGCAGCCGGGAGCCAGGAGCTTCCTCCAGGTCTCCCACGTGGGTGCAGGGGCCCAAGGACTTGGGTCATCTTCCACTGCTTTCCCAGGGGCATTAGCAGGGAGCTGGGTAGGAAGTGAGGCAGCCAGGACTCGAACCAGTACCCAACTGGGATGCTGGCATTGCAGGCGGAGGCTTAGCCCACTGCACCACAGTGCCGGCCCCGAGAAACCTCTCTGATAGGGCCCAGGACCCAGGACAGTACTCTCTGCTTGGCGTTAAACACTCACTACCCTGTACTGACCCTGCGGTGGAAATGCAACTGGACCACTGCCGCAGCTGGCGCAGTGGCAAACTGGAGCACGAGCGGCCATCTCAAGGGCACCTGAGCCCAAGTTCACCACCTGTGGGGACGCTGGCCTGTGTTGTTAGGTCTTCCAGGTTTCCCTCTTCTTAACCAAGTCTCTCGGTTTCTCATTTGAGCTGCCAGGCAGCTGCCGGCTACCAGCTTGGCCATCTCTGGCCTCAGCCTGGAGCCTGGGGTTGGAGCCAACCCAGACACACTGCCCACACAGGGTCCTGTGGCTCAAGGTCATTAAGAACATTCGCATCGGAGTACGGCTGGAACAGAGCGAGAACAGGACCGAGGTGGCCTTGGAGGAGTGCCACACGCCCCCTGGGTACCTGAGCATCGAGGTCCTGGAGCAGTGAGTACCCGTGCCCCCACGTTCCCGTCCCCGTGGCTGGCCTGGATGCCAGCCCTTCCCACACGGATCCTTCGCTGAATCTCACCGGGGCCAGAGTCCTCTCCAGGGGCACTGACCGCCCTTGTTACCATCAGCACGTCCCACCTCACGCTGGATGTCACCACTGAACACGTTCATCCATGCAGGTGCAAGCCTCAGCTTGGCTGCTTCCTTCCTAACAACAGAGCCCCAGCCAAGCTAACCTACGTCTGGGAGCCTCAGTTCCTCTCGATTAAAATGAGATCGCTCACAGGAGGGAGCCAGCGCAGGGCCGGCGGGGGGGAGGGGGGGGGGGGGGGCGGGGGAGCTGGCCGTGTGAGCCATGCAGTGCAGAGTCTGCCACGGAAGGTGGCACCAGCTGTCATTCTCACATGCACCCAGCACTAAACCTCCTCCAGGAAGCGTTGCGTGACCTCTCCCTGCTCGGAAACCCCAGACTCCGCTCACAAACAGAAGCAGAGAGAATCAGGGAGAAACGCAGAGAGGGAGGGGAGGGGCGGGCGTTTGGCCCAGAGGCTCAGATGCCACTCGGAATGTCCACGTCCCACAGCAGAGGGCCTGGTTCAAGGCCTGGCTCTGCTCCCAATCCCAGCTTCCTGCTGATGCACAGCCTGGGAGGCAACAGGTGCCGCTCAAGTGCTTGCGTCCCTGCCGCCCATGCGGGAGACCTGCTCTGATTCCTGGGCCCCTGGCTTTGGCCATCACAGGCCTTTGGAGACGGAACCAGTGGATGGGATCTCCATCTCAATTGCTAAGTGAATAATGTCTTTAAAGATTTTATTTATTTATTTGAGAGGTAGTGTTACAGACCGTGAAAAGGAGAGACAGAGAGAAAGGTCTTCATCTGCTGGTTCACTTCCCAAATGGTTACAATGGCCAGAGCTGGGCCGATCCAAAGCCAGGAGCCAGGAGCTTCTTCCGGGTCTCCCACGTGGGTACAGGGGCCCACACACTTGGGCCATCTTTCACTGCTTTCCCAGGCCATAGCAGAGAGCTGGATCGGAAGAGGAGCAGCCGGGACTAGAACCGGGGCCCATATGGGATGCCGGCACTGCAGGGTGAAGGATTAACCTGCTGCACCACAGCGCTGGCCCCAGTAAATACAATTTTTAGAAAGCGAGAGAGAGGAGAAAGTCAGAGAAAGCAAGAGGGCAAGCAGCAGGTAGAGAGAGACAGAAATGGAAAGGAGGGGCGACGGAGAAGAGGGGGCGCAGAGGCCAGCGGGGAAACGGAAGGAAGCGGCCGCTCTGGGCCTGTGCGCTGCACCGGCCGCGGCTCCCCCCCGGGCGTCAGACCCCACGGGCTGTCCCCTTCCTCCAGGACGGACTCCCTCGTGGTGAACAAGCTTCTGGAGCTGGTGTCGGGAGTCCTGGACGAGACACTGCCCTTCCTCCTACAGAAGATGGTGAGTTGCCCGGCCTCCTGGGAGAGAGGGGACCCCGGAGGCAGCAACCTCACCCTGACCCCGCTGAGGCCCCTCCTGCCTTCCCTGCAGGTGTGTCCCGAGGCCACGAGCCTGCTCAACTTGCTGCTGGCAGACCTCCTACACAGCACTCTGCGTACGTTGCTGCTGGCCAGGGCGGGACTGGCCTGCCCTCCCCCTGCTTGGAGCCAGGCGCTGTTCTAGGCCCTGGGAATACAGGGGAACAGGACAGACGCACCCTGCCCACGGGTAGCTGGCTTTCAGTGCAGTGGCGGGAGGGATGATGTAGCTTGTGACCTTGCTAAGTTGTTTCCCACCCTGAGCCTCAGTTTCCCAGTCTGTAAAACGGGACTAATCATAGGCCCACAGAGTTGCACTGTTGTGATAATACACATAACCTGGCACAAAGTTGTCGCTCCGTGAACGTTCGCTGTTACAAGAAGCACAAGCCTGGTGCTCAAGGAACCTCTTGCTAAGCAGAGAGAGCCTGGTATTTGGTACAGTGGTGAAGTGCTTGGGACTCCTTCGTGTATCAGAGGGCCTGACCCACGTCCTGGCCACTCCACTTCCAATCCTGCATCCTGCTCATGAGCACCCAGGAAGCACAGGCAATGGCACAAGGACATGGGTCCCTGCCACCCATGTGGGAGGGCCAGATAGAGCACCTAGCTCCCGGCTTCAGCCTGGTCCTGCCCCAGCTGTTGTGGGGATTTGGGGAGTGAGCCGGCAGATGGAAGATCTGTGTGTGTGTGTGGCCTTTAATACAATGACAACATTACATAAGCTGGGAGGGAGAAGTGCAGGCTGAGCCCGTCTCATGTCCCCCCTGCAGCCCCGACCGGCTGGGGCCGGGACGACTTCCAGTATTACATCACATCCACGGAGTTCACGGAGGAGGCCATCCTGATGCGCGCCCTGGTGAGCCGGCCCCCGCTGCAGCTGCAGGCACCCTGTGTGTGCCGTGCCCGCTGTCGGGGCTGCTGGGGGAGAGGGGTTGGGCTTCTCTGGACAGGAGAAAAGTGACAGAGGAAGGAGGCAGCCGAGGAGGAGAAGGGGCGGCTCAGGGGGCCCGGAGGGCGAGAGGCCAGGGCGCTGCACGGGCAGCGAGCCAGGCCAGGCTCTGACCAGAGGGCCTGGGGCAGGCACAGAGCTGCGAGAAAGCACGGCCGGCCGTGTCTGCCCGGCTGCTGTCCCGGGGAGTGACAGGAGGAGGGTGGGCAGGATGGAGGGGGCGGGAATGCGGCCCCGTCTGCCTCTCACCTGATCTCAGTGAGTCACGTCCCCTCTGGGCCTCGGTCTCCGCAACCGACACGTGCTGCAGGTGCACTGCGCATCCGGCAGCGCTGCTGTGAGGCCCTGGCGGGAGGGTGGGCACGGCGAGCCGAGTGGTGAGGCCCTGGCGGGAGGGTGGGCACGGCGAGCCGAGTGGTGAGGCCCTGGCGGGAGGGTGGGCACGGCGAGCCGAGTGGTGAGGCCCTGGCGGGAGGGTGGGCACGGCGAGCCGAGTGGTGAGGCCCTGCTGGGAGGGTGGACGCGGCCAGCCACTCGAGGCCAGCGCTAGCTGGGGAGCTGCCCCCACTGAGCTCCATCCCCCTTCTTTCTCGGGAGCTCGTGACCCGCTGCAGCCCCGGGCCAGAGAGAGCCCCAAGGCCTGACCGCCCCGTCCCCCAGCCCATGCCGAGGTTAAGCCAGGGCAGCGTGGCAGACCTGGTCTTCTGGGTGGACGTCTACAATGACATCCTGTCCTGCCTCTACTCCAGCGAGGACACCCACGCGGACCCCCAGGACTCCACAGTGAGTGCTCGAGGAAGGGGGTGTGGGACAGAACGTCACCACTGTCTCTCACGTGGAGAGGCCAGGGTGCAGGTGGGGAAAGGTCCTTTCTGGGTGGACCCCACCTGGAGAGCTCCTACCCAACCTTTAGAACCCGACACAGAAATGCCCTCACCTGGGGAGACTTTCCTGAACACCCATACCTCTTTGTTGTTCCTCCTTTTTTTTTTTTTTTTTTTTTTGACAGGCAGAGTGGACAGTGAGAGAGAGAGAGAGAAAGGTCTTTCTCTTCCGTTGGTTCACTCCCCAATGGCCGCTGCACCGCGGCACACCGCGCTGATCCGAAGCCAGGAGCCAGGTGCTTCTCCTGGTCTCCCATGGGGTGCAGGGCCCAAGCACTTGGGCCATCCTCCACTGCACTCCCTGGCCACAGCAGAGAGCTGGCCTGGAAGAGGGGCAACCGGGACAGAATCCGGCGCCCCAACCGGGACTAGAACCCGGTGTGCTGGCGCCGCTAGGCGGAGGATTAGCCTATTGAGCCGCGGTGCCGGCCTTCTTATTTTTTTTAAATGTATTTATTTATTTGAAAGGTAGAGTTACACAGAGAGAGAAGGAGAGGCAGAGAGAGAGAGAGAGAGAGAGAGAGAGAGAGAGGTCTTCCATCTGCTGGTTCACTCCCCAGTTGGCCACAACAGCCAGAGCTGCACCGATCCAATGCCAGGAGCCAGGAGCTTCTTCTGGGTCTCCCACATGGGTGCAGGGGCCCACACACTTGGGCCATCTTCCACTGCTTTCCCAGGCCACAGCAGAGAGCTGGATCGGAAGTGGAGCAGCCAGGTCTTGAACCGGTTCAGGCCAGGGCGTTTCACCTGCTGCGCCACAGTGCCTGCCCCAAGAGTGCATGTATTTTTATTCAAGGCTGTTACACACTGAGAGGAATTCTAAGTGCTGACATATGTAAGGTAAATCGATTCCACGTGGGAGACCTGGAAGAAGCTCCTGGCTCCTGGCTCCGGATAGGCGCAGCTCCGGCCAGTGTGGTCATTTGGGGAGTGAACCAGTGGATGGAAGATCCTCTCCCCTCTCCCCTCTCCCCTCTCCCCTCTCCCCTCTCCCCTCTCCCCTCTCCCCTCTCCCCCTCTGTAATTCTACCTCTCAAATAAATAAATAAATATTCTTTAAAAAAAAAGAAAGAAAAATAAAAATGTTAACAGACGAATCTGGGTGGTGAGCAACCACATATGTTCTCTATAATGTTCTTTCAGTTTTGCTGTATATATAGAAACTCTCAGGATAAAATGCTGGGAGAAAAATCATGCAAGAATAAAAGGTGAACTTTTCCAGGTAGACCACAAAAAGAAGGCAGCTGAACGGCCCCTCCCGTGCTGTAACAGGCCGGCGTGTGAGCAGCACGTCCAGCTGCCCCTCCGTCTCCTGCCAGCGCAGACCTGCGGGTTCTGACGGCCGATGCACACTTTGTTCCTTTCCAGGCGGCCGGCCTCCTGCAGCTGCTGTCACCGAGCGAGCTGGAGCCTGGGTCCGAGGTGGGTGTGGGGTGTCACTGACCCCTCCTCCAGCGCTTGGCCCGGGGAGACCGCGGGCTGCGGGTGATGTGACTGGGCCGGGAGGCCGCCTGGGTGTGTTCCACTGGACCAGAGTTTCCTGCTGTGGGCTCCAAACGTCCCCGCACCTGCTTTGCGGGTGTCGTAAAGATCCGGTGAGACGGTGCCGTGAAGGCACTGAGCTCCCTGCACAGCCCCGGGGACCAGGGCTGTGTGGCTGTCACTGCTGTGCCCGGCTCACGGAGAAGACAGTGGACAGTGACACCAGCCCCGCACCGTCACCCCCTCTTACGGGTGAGCAAATTCAAACACAGCACCCAGCAGGTGAATCCCCTTGCCCAAGCCCGCACTACCCAGGAAGTGGCAGAACCAGGGTTCAAACCTGCTCAACGCTCCCTCTCCAGAGCCTCCCAGAGCACACCTCCCCGCCCCCCACCCCCGGCAAGCACCACCGCTGACCCGCCTTCCTCTAGGCGCTTCAAATAACCGACTCATTAAACCCTCACTGCGCCTCTATGGAACAGGTGCAACTAGTACGCCTGTTTCAGTGTGAAAACTGAGACACGGGACGAGTCAGAGGCTTGCCTCGGGCCACGCAGCTGCAGGTAGCAGAGCTGGACTCTCGTCCCCAGTCGCTCTGCTCTTACCTGCCACGTGTGCTCAGGACAGCAGGCAGTAACCCCACCTTGAAGCAGCTCAGGGCGGGGAAGCAACCTCCCCAGGGCTGCACAGCAAATGGCCGCAGAGCCAGGGTGAAAACCCAGAGCCCTGACTCCCCGCCCGCACCTCGTCCCCTAGGACCTTGTGCAGGCCTCTCATCAGTGGAGAGGGGGCGTGGGGCTGACCATCAGCGCCCCTCATCCTCCCAGCGTCCACTTTGATGGCCACAAGTTCACGGTCATGCAGCCGGGCTCGCTGGTGCTGCCAGGGCCTAGCAACACCTCTTCGGTCTCGGTTTTCTGGGTGAGTGAGCCGTGAAGGGGGCTCATTTGCTTCCCTGCAGGGGCCCCTCCAAGGCAGGGTCATGGGGGGCACTGGTGTTTCTTCCTCACCTTCAATCAGTCCACGCCCTGACAGCCGTGCCGGCCACTACAACGTTCAAGCACTTGAATGCCGGTTCCGCCCAGGTCACCCCAGTGCTCCCCAAGGGCCCAGTCGGCGGGCCATGTGTTTGCCCTCCGGCCCCTGGGCTCGAGCCTCACTGGGTACTCGGGTCTGTCTGCCCTGGACGCTGCACGGAGAGCCCGGGAGGAAGTGCTGAGACAGCAGGGTTCCCGGCCGGCCTCAGTGTGCCTGGCTGTGTCCCCCTACCTCCCATGGGAGATGCACCCCTCCCCCAGGTTTCAACTTTACCCTGAGCCCCTTGGGACTCCTCCTGCGCATTCCACAGACTTGGAAACTGGGAGGGTACCTGCCTAGGGTAAGGGGGCAGGAGGGTCACCCACCATGGTGACACAGGTGGCATCCAGGGGTCAGCAGGGTACTGGGGGCGTAGTTGCCTGATCCCATGGCCAAGAATCAGGTCCTGTTTGGCTGGCGGTGACCCACATCTACGACTGTGACTGGTGGAGGCCCAGCGGCACCCTCTCAAGGCCAGGGGTCCTAGGGCCTCCAGCAAGGGTGACTCTGGGCCCAGGGATGCTCATCCCAAAAGGCTGGGGCTCCACTGGACTCCCCTGCGCCCAGCACACCCACAGCCAGGCACACCTGTGCAAGGTCTGCTCTCCAGGCACGCAGCGGCTGCAGCCCAAGGCATTGTGGGATGGGGGCAGGGACCAGATGCCACCCCCCCAGCCCGTGTGCCTTGGGGCGGGGGGTGAGCATCCCCCCGGCTGGAGCAGAAACCCCCCGCCCTGCCGACCTAACTCCGCCTCCTCACAGCAACTCCTTTCCGAGCCTGTGTTTGCCTCCCAGAATCAGGAACTAAAGCTCCAGTTCGCTCCAAACAGGTAACGTCTTGGGATTTGGGATGTTGGGAACAGACAAGACGGCCACCGGACAGAGCGGGTGGTGGGCGGGTGTGAGGGAGGGGCGCGGGGCTCTGCACCCCGAGCGGCTGTCCCAGCCTAAAGTGCCATCTCCTCTCCCCGCCAGCATCGCAGTCATCCTGGGCACTTTCCCCACGGGCCTCGGGGGGCAGGTGAGTCCCTGCCCTCAGCCTTGGCCTCTCTGAGGTCCTGACCTGGCCGGGTCGGTATCCCTGACCTCACTGTGCCCTGAAGCCCCCACAGCCCCCTGGGGCGGGGCGTGGGGTGGGGGAGGAAGCCTCTGGGGCTCACACTTGCCCACTACATCCTTTCCTACACTTAGCAAGTGTTTTCTGAGCACCCAGATGGCCACAACAGCCAAAGCAGGAGCCTGGACTCCATCCGGGTCTCCCACAATAGCGGCAGGGGCCCAAGCACATGGCGTAGGTTATTGGAGCTTTCAGCCCCGATAAGACAAAGGGGCAACCAGCCAAGGAGAGTTTCACCAAAAACAGGATAGCAGAGCAAAGATGGGGGCGGGGTGGGGGGAGGCAGGTAAGAAGTCTGCTGGGACAGCAAGCTGGGTCGGGAGAAAGCTCAGCCCCCGGGACAGACGCTTGCCTTTTTAGTCGTGTGCAAAACCCCACGTCCACAGCAAGAGGTGGCCCTGACCGTGCAGGACACCCCCGATGGGTGATGGGTGTTATCAACTGCTATGTGTGCTCTCATCAGCCCCGGGGCCCAGGACTGGTCTGATGCCCCCTAAGATGCCCCCTGAGGGGGAATAAAACTTAGGCCATTAAAACTTTGTCACAACATCCTCAGGGTCATTCCTAACTAGGATTTGGTTTGCCAGGTGTGACGTTAACTATGTCTGCCCCAAACGGCCTAGCAAGTCCTAACACTTGGACCATCTTCGGCTGTTTCCCCAGTCTCATTAGCAGGGAGCTGGATGGGAAGTGGAGCAGCAGGGACTCAAACTGACACCCATATGGGATGCCAGCACTGCAGGCAGTGGCTTAATTCTCTGTGCCACAGCACCGGCCACTAAGTACCTACTTCGTGTCTAACCTTGTGTCCCTACCTTGGAGGCACTCACGCCCCAGCACAGTGACAGAGGCAATGACACAACCCCTGCCCCATTAGAGAGCCCCTTGGGGGCTTGGTCCCTGCGAGGCGCGGGCCCTGGGGGCCACACTGCACGGGCTTCCTCTTGCCCAGGCTGGCCCTCAGGGTGCCAAGTGGGTGGCAGTGTCTCTCGTTCAAGCTCCCGAGGTTCCCAGGCCCTTCGCCCCCAAAGTGGGTCCAGTTCACAAGTGGCGCCCCCAGAACTCCTCGCCCCTGTGGGCACCTGCCCAGGGGACCCCCTTCCTGTGGTCAGAACCTGCCCGCACAGCCCTGTGACCGTGCTGTCCTCCTTCCGTGTTGCAGGAGACACAGCTACGGGCTCCGCTTGCAGAGCTCCTGAGCAGGACGTTTCTGCCCCGCCACAACCGTGAGCCTCTTTCCTTCTCTGTTGTGCCCACGGGTCCTGGGTGCAGCGGCAAACATGGCCTGGGGGTGCCCCGGACAGCTGCTTCTGCCTATCCCCCTTCGGGTGGGCTTGGGAGTGCCCCTGGGCACAGCCGAGGGACGCGAGCTTGAGCCAGTGATTGAAATCCGGGTGGGGTGGCCCATGAGGGGCTGTTCTTGGCCCAGCTAGCGGTGAGGCGGGCTCAGATGCAAAGCAGGGGCCAGGAAGAGGCCTCGGCCAGGTCTGAGGGTGATGGGAGCCCAGAGGCAGCTCTTTTCCTGCACCCTGGAATGATACATTAGGCCAGCAGGGGGCAGCAGAGGCCCAGGCCGGGCCTCAAGGGAAAATGGTGGAAACTCAGTTTGCTGGAAACCAACCCACCCAGTGGTTAATCCACTGAAACGCAAACTACAAAGTGATCAGCTCTCCAATTCACCAACTAACCAAAAACCTGCTTTAGGCATTCTTTACCATGTATTTGATCAGTCAGTATAAATCTGGAATATTCTCCTGCTCTGACCTAGCAGTGGGTATTGATACAATCAAATGTCCACTGCTTCCGCGTCTGCCCACACGCGGACACATCCTGGGATGTTCTCAGCCATTTTCCTCCATTAAGAAAAACCAAACTCGTCAAGAGCGTCCTAGGAAACCTTCCACAAACTGAACCCCCTCACAGTGCCGCCAGGAAGGAGGTCCCCTGGGGAGACGGCCCAGACAGGGGTACAGAGGAGCCTGTTAGAGGCCGGCTCCCCGCTGGGAGCTGCTTGCACCTCAGGGACCCCCTGAGCAAGAGGAAGGGAAGGGGGCACACCAGTCCCTTTCCTGTTCTGGGCAGCTGGCCCAGCCCCGCCCTGTCCTCAAAGAGTCCCCAAGTCCTCCGCCCTCCCTTCTTGCAGAGCGGCTCAGAGACCAAGGCCTCCCGCTGCCCAACATCAAGGGCGTCTCCTTCGAGCAGGCCCAGGCGGTGCTCTCCCAGGTAGGTGCCGGGGAAAGGCGCTTCCCGAGACACGTGCGGGTGGGAGCCCGTCCTGCGGGGAGCAGCAGCACTGCCGCGTGCCAAGGCCTCTGCCTCCCTGTCTCACCTCCTGCCCACAGCCAGCCTGGGTGCAGACCCCCACTCACGGACGAGGGAGTTGGCTACCTGGACCCCTTGGGCAGTCAGGCCATGCCTTCCACAGGGGCCTGCAGTTAGCACCATGAAGCTGGTGCCATTTTCCCTCCCAGTTTTTTAAAGATTTGTTTTGTTTACTTGAAAGTCAGAGTGACAGAGAGAAAGGGAGAAGGAGACATAGATATTCCATCTGCTGGTTCACTCCCCAAATAGCTGCAATGGCTGGGGCTGGGCCAGGCTGTGAAGCCAGGAGCCACATCCGGGTCTCCCACATGGGTGGCAGGGCCATCCTCTGCTGCTGTCCCAGGTGCATTAGCAGGGAGCTGGATGGGAAGCAGAGCAGCCAGCACTCAAACAGGCACTCCAATATGAGATGCTGGCATCACAGGCAGCGGCTTAACCTGCTGCACCCCAACTCCGACCCCTGGTCCTCCCATTTTACAAGTGAGGGAACTCGGCCTCAGAGCGGCCAGAGCAGGATTCCAACCGGGCTTCACCTGACGTCAAAGCCCAGGTCACACAGCCCCCAGACCTCGGGTGCTCTGCCTCCGGCCCCTGCCGTCTGGGAGGTAAGATGCGGCAGAGAGCAGACAGACCACCCACTGCCACGCTCCCACCCAGAGTCCAGAGGAGGCGGCACCGAGGGCCCCAGGCCACCGCTGCCTCTGAGCAGCCGGCAGCATGGCCCTGCCCACTCGGCTGCCTTCCCCTCCCACTGCAGGGGACTCTGAGAGGCAGGCTCAGCGGGGAGGGCCCTTTCCTTTCCTTGTCTCCCACCTTAAAGGGCAGAACAGGAAGGGCAGAGGCAGAGAGAACCACTGCGCCTTGCTGAACCTGCTGTCCCTGTCTGCGAAATGGGTATAGAGACACTCCCTCCCGCCCCCCCCACCCCGAGCTGCAAACACAGAACTGTTAGGCCCACGGATCTCACCCAGCCCTACCTGACCCCAGAAAGCAAGCTTCAGGACCCTCAGCTTCCGCCCGAGCCGAGACCCAGGACACTCCCAGTCCCCGCGCTCAGGAAACATGAGGAACCCGCTTTCAAGCACCAGAAGTTGCTGTGAAGAAGGGGGCGGGAGGGGACAGCAGCAGGTGCATCCTGTAACACCAGCTTCAGGCCAGGGGGGCCTGGCAGAGGGGAGACCCTGACAATATGCCAGAGGGGCTGAGGGACCCACTATAGGGGACACTCCAGAAGTGAGGCCGCAGGTCCCGGCAAGGTGGGCCCATCGGCTCAGGGCACAGCCAAGCCTGAACCAGCCACGGCCCTGGCTCCTAACCAACCTACAAGAGGCAAGGCCCCTCCCTGGCTCGCTTCTGTGCAGGTTACAAATCACACAACTCCGGGGTACACCCATCAGATTGCAGTGTCTGTGAACAGTGCCACCTGCAGTTGGGCAGTGTACAACCTGCACGTCCTCATGTGGCTGCCCTGACTATCACCCACTCACGCACTGTCACTCACTCAGTCACTGTATCTCTGCAAGAGCCCCGAATCCGGTCTGTTCCTTCACACACAGTCCCGCAGCTCCACCCCCTCATCCAGCGGGCCCCTGACTCTGCCGTCCCGGACCATGCCAAGGATGAGTGGCCTGGAGAGGGCAGGCTCAGTGGGTGCCAGGTTCAGATGGGGAGTGTCTCTGCTTCCACCCCCAGGGTTTCCTGCTGCTGACCGTTCCGGAGTAGCCGGTGCTGACGGCCCAGTCCCTGCCCCAGCCCCAGCCCCCGCCGCCACAGACCTGGGGGTCTGAGAAGGAAACACCCGATTCCACCAATAAAGATGCTTCCTCCCTGAGCAGGAGTCCGGCACTGAGTCTGCGAAGAGGACCCGGATGGCGGGGTGGGGTCGGGGGCTGCGAGATTTACATGAGGGTTTTCTCACCCTGCTGGCCCCTGGCAGCGGGCAGCGGAGTGATGTGCACACGCCCCAGAGCACGGCCCTCGTGGCGGGGAAAACCCCACCCCCCAGACTCCCTAGCCCACATGGCCAGGCAGGACAGGGCAGTGAGTAGAGCAGGCCCAGCACCAGAGGGCCTCACAGGCGGACGCGTGGCCAAGGCCTGGCTGTGGGAGTACAGAGATGACGACGCACGAGGTCCCTCCCACACCTGGGCACCTGTCGCTCCTGGCCCGGCCAGGGCAGACAAGGGGAACCTTTGGACTCACCGTGATGAAATGTCCACCACTGGCAGGGGGAGGCCCGTGCCAACCTCTGTCTCAGGCGTGAGCGAGTAGCCCCAGCTGGCCCTTGGAGGGGCCTGGAGGAGCCCTTCCGCACCAGGTGGCCCAGACCCAGGCAGGACCCTGAGGGCTCTCCCGGGTCTGGTGCAGGCCTCAGTAGGTGGGTGGGACCCAGAACAAACCCCCCTGTGTGCTCTGCTCAAGCCCAAGCAGGAGCAGGAGGAAAGCCCCCGGGAGGGGCCCCTGAGGGCGGGGGCGCCCGCACTGGTCTTGCTGTCTGTGAGACACCCCTAAGTGAGGAGGGGGCTGCAGAGGAGACACTGCCCCAGAGGAAAGCACGGTGCTCGCCCCAGCCCAGAATTCCCTGCCCTGGGAGTGGCTGCAGGTGACGTGGGCCAGGCAGGGAGCAGGAAGGGACACGGAGCTGGGGATGCCAACACCAAGTCCCATCACCGTCCATGCTCCATCAGCACACCCTCTCCTCATCAGGCAGCCCGCCTCACAGCCCACCCTGCTCCACCCTGCTCCACGCCACACCTCACCCCATCCTGTCTCCATGGGTCTCCCACCAGGCCCCGCCCTACGGTGACCCCAGCCATGTCTGAGTGTGCGCTATCCCTTTGTCTTTCAATACCCCCTGCTCTTGGCTTCACCTCTACCTACCCTCCCATGTGGGGCGATGAGAACCTGGACTGAGCAGTTGGGGGTTCTCTCCAATCCCAGTCGGGGCTCTCAATGCCTATAACAGATGGAGACTTCTGGGACCATGACAGGGGCCGGACAGGCCTTGGCCTTCCCCCAGGCACGTGACCTGTCCAGGCACGAGCTGGCCTCTCCCAGCAGCCATGGAAGCCCCTCATTCTCCTCCCACAGCCCCAGCAGGGACTCCTCACTTCAGAGCTCACAGACCTGGCCTCTGTGAGACCTTCACACACACAGGGGTGCCACCCACAGTGCCTCACCCCCCAGGACCGCCCCCCAGGCAGCAGAGCACCAGCCCCTGCTCCCCGCTCTGGGCTTAGCCTTTCCCACCACATCACTCCCTGAGACCAAGGAAGGCCATGTCCTCAGGGTAAAGCGCACACAAACCTGGCAGATAGACCGGAAGACAGCAGAACCGCTCCAACTGGAACATGGCGGGGTGCGGGGGCTCTGCCCCAAGTTCTGCTCCCAGGAGCCTCTATGCTCCTTGGAGTAAAGGCCCCGAGCCACCGGGGAGGGAAGTCGCCATGCGGGAGCCTCCTGCCATCAGCAAAGGGAACGGAGGACCTGTGCCTTGACAGCTGCGATAATGCTGAAGAATGAGGGGGATTCCCCTTAGAAAAAAGAGGCCCTAAGGGAGACCCCGGAAGGCTCTCACTCCTCCCACCCAGGACATCCTCCAAGAAGTGGCCCAGGCCAAAGCGTGGAATGCCTCTGTTCCTCCACACCTGGTCCCACAGCCGGGCCAGGGTCTGACTTTCTATGTACCTCCCACCCCAGAGCTGCCGGCAGCACCACCCTGGGCAAGGCCCCCAGCTTCACCCCACCTCCACTCCAGCTTCCAGCCTAGACTCCTGTGACAGCCAGGGTGAGCTTTCACAACCCAGACCCAGGGGCCAGCGTGGTGCAGCAGGTGAGCCACCACTTCTAACACTGCGTCCCACATCAGAGCGCTGGTTTGAATCCCAGCTTCCCAGTTGGCATTCCTTGCTCCTGGCTTTGGCCTGGCCCAGCCCTGATGGATGCAGCCATTTGGGAAATGAACCAGTAATTGGGAGGTCTCTGTCTCCACCTCTGCCCCTCAAATAAAGTGAATAAAAAAAGAAAGAGATCACCTCTGAGGATTCAGAATGTTCCTACAGGAGGCAGTGACAAGTGCTGGTTGTGATGGCCGTGCCATTGACCGTGATCTGATCCTTGCCTGCTGCACACGTGCACATCACACGCCACTGCAAAAACGTGTTCCGTTGTTGTGTGTCCACTCAAAATGAGAACTGTTTTCAACGCTAGCAGGCTTTTCCTTTGTGGCGCCATAGAATGGTACGCTGACTTTATACTAAGTCTTTACGGCATCTGGGATAAGTGACTCCGTGAACGTTACTACTTTGAGTTCTACACTGAACACTTTGATTCGTCTTACTTGAATGATAGATAGTGAAAAACAAAAAGGTAATTTGATTTTGCGGCTGTGCTTTGTTTTATGTCCCTGGCACAGAATGTTTAAAAAAACTCTGTATTTGGGGGGTTGGAACTGTGGTGTAGCAGGTAAAGCCGCCGCCTGCAGCACTGGCATTCCATATGGGCGCTGGTTCAAGTCCCGGCTGCTCCACTTCTGATCCAGCTCCCTGCTAATGCACCCGGGAGAGGAATAGATGACCCAAATCCTTGGGCCCCTGAACCCATGTAGGAGACCTGAGAGAAGCTCCTGGCTCCTGGCTTCAAATTGGCCCAGATCCACCATTGCGGCCACAATGGGGAATGAACCAGTGGATGGAAGACTCTCCCTGCCTCGGCCTCTCCCTCTCTGTAACTCTGCCTTTCAAATGAATAAATAAATCTTTAAAAAAAAAAAAAAAGCCAGGACCCAAACCTATTTAGACTATGACCTCATATCTGAATATACATAAAATGAACAAAATGCTGGCTGTGGTTGCCAGGCAAGTTTGGGTGATGGGAGTGCAGGTGATTTTTATTTTCTACTTAAAATTTCTTCCAAACTTTCTATGGTGAACGTGGTTGATTTTATCATTAGGAGGAAAAATGTCCTCATCCATTCAAAAAATACACAGTAGGCACGGGCTGAATCCGATACGCCAGACAGAGCCAGATGGCTTCTGCCCTCAGAGAGCGCGTGAGGAAGGTGACCCGAAACTACTGAGCCAACTGAAGGACACGGGGCTACAAAGCCTGCCGAGGACCTGCAGGGTCCGGGAGAGAGCAGGGCAGGGCAGCCTGGCTCGGGTCGGAGGCCTGCGAGGCCGCTCAGCAGAGAAGCTGCAGTTAGTGCGAGTGGGCAGTGACGGCAGCAGGCGTAGAGGCCCCGAGGGGGGAACAAGCTGGGCGGACCAGAGACACTGGGGGACAGCCTGAGAGGGCGGCGCTCTGCGGGCAGTAGGGAGCTGTGGTGCGGCCTGAATGGCATCACACGTTTTTAGGAGAAAAGAGATTGAGCCGCGGCGACAGAGCCACAGACCCGCAGCGCTCCGGGAGGAAAGCCAGCCTCTGCTTATTGTAACACGGCAGGAGGACCTGCTGCGGGCGGGCCACACTGACCACCCCGGGGAAGCCCAGGTGTCTGCCCCGTGGCCTTCTGGATGGGAGAGAGGAGGGGTGAGGAAGGGAGGCCCTGCCACGTGCCAGCTGTCCCTCTACCCACGAACGAGAAGCAGGAAGGGAGCGGCCAGTCTACGTGACAGACAGACGGAGCCCAGAGAAACAACCAGAGCTCCACACAGAGGGTACAAGACAAGCGGGACGTGTCCCCGGCTTCCAGCAGCTCGTGGACGAGGAGACGGAACGACACGTGGCAAGTCCTGGGCCATGGCCCCATCGCTTCTGCAAGGGAGGCACTTAGCCACCCTCCTCACCTCATGCACGCGCTGCCGGCAGCGGAGGTGTGGTCATGGTGGCCACAGGCCTCTGACTCAAGCCCCGCTGCAATCGCCCTGGTACGTCCCCTCCATCCCTGGCATCAATAATCCTCCCAGCCGGCGCCGCGGCTCACTAGGCTAATCCTCCACCTTGCGGCACCGGCACACCAGGTTCTAGTCCCGGTCGGGGCGCCAGATTCTGTCCTGGTTGCTCCTCTTCCAGGCCAGCTCTCTGCTGTGGCCATGGGAGACCAGGAGAAGCACCTGGCTCCTGCCATTGGATCAGCGCGGTACACCCGCCGCAGCGTGCCGGCCGCGGCGGCCATTGGAGGGTGAACCAACGGCAAAGGAAGACCTTTCTCTCTGTCTGTCTCTCTCACTGTCCACTCTGCCTGTCAAAAAAATAAAAAATTTTTAAAAATAATCCTCCCCTTCATGAGTGCCCAACTGGGTCCACAGGTGAACGCCACCCTGGTGACACCTACTACAGGATGTAGAAGAGGGTGCCCACGGGAAGCTCGGCACACGTAGTAGGTGGGAACGAGGCCGCAGGCTCGCAGGAAGCAGTGGAAGCCAAGCACCCGACTGCTGGCACAGCAGGAGTCATCTGCAGAACCCGCACGTGCGCCAGGCACGGTGCGAATCACCTCGCCTCGCGGCAAGTCCCAAAGGGACAAACCCATCCCTACTGCATGGATGAGAAAACTAAGGCACAGAAGAGGTGGACAGTGTGCCAGGGCCACTCCGCCAGCAGGCAGCTGGACAGGCTGCACACCCAAGTCTGTTGGGCACCAAACATGAGAACACAAACTCTGCCTTCTCCTAAACCACTGGGCCCTTAAAAATGTTTCATTTGAAAGTCAGAGTTACGGAGTAGGGAGGGAAACAGAGAGAGAGAGAGAGAGAGAGAGAGCGAGAGCGAGCCACAGTGAT